TTTGTGGTCGTCCTTGTCGTTCTTTCCCTGGTGGAACAAGTCGACTTGTAGCTGTAATAGGGGGAGCTGAAGCGTTTCGGTAATGAAAGCAAAGGCTTCGGAGGTATCTTGTTGTTCGAGGAGCTTGGCGTCGCTCCAGCCGCAGTCGGCGAGAGCATCCTGAATGAGTTTTGTCTTCTATGGTTAGCAACAGTAAAGGGGGTTCAGGCGCAGAACCAGCTTACCATGTCTACGTGGATCATCTCTCCGCTCCTCAGCATGTTCACCCATAGTCGCAGTAGTGTGACCAATCTGCGTCTTGGCTCGTCCGTAAAGTCGTTCTTCAGCATGCACTCGAAGGCGTCCAGCTTGGCAAACATTGCAAACAGCAGAGAGTCGAGGTAGCAAGTGACGTTGCCTCTGTTCTCTGCACCGACCATCTCGACCTGGGGGTTGTAGTGTGTGATCTTGCCAGCCATTGCCTTGCACTGCATTTTGATAAATTCGACGGTCTTGTTGACGTCTTGCTTGGCGTATTCGCTGTGCAAAGAATCGCGGATATGTTCTTCGGAGACGTCCGTAACGTTGCTGTCGGCAAGCTTGCTCTTGATATCTTCGACCTGTCGTCGCAATTAGGTCAAGGTCCTGTGGGTGAAATGCGACTTGGCGTACCTTTTGAGACTCCTTCTCCTTCAGCTCCTCGTCGGTTGGTAGTTGGGCGGTGTTGCTCTTGAAAAGGGATCTGAAGGCTTCGGCTGACAGTGGTCGGCTCTAGTGCGAGGGAACAGGTCATTAGCCTCCAGTCCTTCTCAACAGACGAAAACAGCATGTGAAGACACGATCATAGCGCCAGGGGTCGCAAACTCACCTTCTGTCCTGGCTCTGAGGACTTGCTCCTGCGATGGGCGCCATTCCTGTCCCGCAGGCTGAGAAACTTCTTGCCCTTCATGGTCGCGGGTTGTGTTGGTGGTGGTGCAAAGCGAATTAGGGGTGATTGAAGCCGAAGAGGCTACTCAACGAAAGCAGTCACCTCAGCGGTCAGGAACCATGATCAGGTCGAAATCGCACCCCCATCAGCCAGCAGTACGGGAGTGGAGAGCAATGGTTGAGAGTAAAGAATGTATGCCAGGAGGTATGGAGGGGCTCTGGCGCGTCTCGGCGGGGCAGATTTTCGCAGGTCGCAAAAGACGGGGCTGGATGATCAGGCCTGGACTTTTCCATCTGTCAGCGTATTCTGTACGAGCGACTGGACGCTGCTGCATGTGCTGCAAAAAGGGGAATTGCTGACTTGCAACCGTCGTATATTGGTGTCAAACGTCGCGAAGGGGCGCTCCTTAGGTAGAAAGAGTATGCAGAACTAAAAGGCAGGTCGTACAAATACTGAGAGAAAATGTCGATGTGGTGGTGTTGGTCGATACCGGGGGGACAGCTGAAGCAATTAAGGTAGCGAGCCCTTCACTCAACAGGCGCCGTAGTGTGCCAACCCGTTACAGCCAGCAGGCGATGGGGACAAGGAGGAGGAGCCAGGGTCAGATGGTGGTTCGCGGATTTTGGCTCGAAAAATTCGGGGTCCAGGGTGGCCAGGTCTGGCAGGGCCGCAGGTGGCACCTTGCGGTGGAGATCGCCTAAAGGCCCAGGTACCGGCGCGGCAAAGCTTGGGCGCACCGGTACTTCCAACCACTAGAAACTGTCTTCCTGGGCACCTGGTGCTCCTTGCGGACTTGCCCGTCAGTTGACTCGGGAGCCTGCCCGGGCTGGGAGTGCCTTGGTCGACAGCCCGCGGCGGCAAGGCGGACTTTTCGCTGTTCGACCTGATGAACACAACCTGCTTCTACGTCCGTCAAGGAATGACCGTGACTCCGAACAGCTTACCAACACCAACACGTGTGTACCTGTTCTTTGATCTAGGTAACTAGTTTGCAAGCGACTTGGCGGACGCTGTGGGTGGATGCAATAGGCAGAAGAGAAGCCAGAATCTTCTGTCTGTCTCTCTGTCTCCCCGGGCTGCGCGTTTCTTACATATGACCTCGCCTAAACTATGAGTAAAAGTTGCCTGCCCCAACATCCAACATCCACGCGAGGTGTCATACGTAAGGCCTGTCCATCGTGGGAGCAACATCCGAAAAAGATCACGCCTCCCGAGTCCCGAAGATGAAAGTGGCAATTCATCCATCATATCAACCACAAGTCATTCGATCCCCTGTCCCAACTCTGGATAGCAGTCCGGACCCTTGGCGTGGCGGGGAAAAAGCACACCTTCGGCTGGACCAAAATCTCCTTAGGTCTCGCTCTTGTTTCGTGAGGCGTGTAAATGGCTGCAATGATACCCTCTGGGACACGTCTTGGCGCGTCCTTTACTTGCGCAGATCCGACCTCATGGCTCTGTGGCCCATGCTTCTAGTTTCAACAGCCCCTATCCCCCATCTGTGCTCTTGATTTGCAGAGAACAGACTTCGGAGTCCAGCCTGGTTGAAAGAACAGACGAATTGCCAAAATAGAATAGCTCGCCTGCATCACCTCTCCCCTCACTCAGCCCAGCAGCAAGCCCCAGGAGGCTCAACTGTAATCCGCAACTCTAATCTACTACCCAGTGCCAGGGTATGCCACCACGGCCACGAAGCTCAACGTGTACAACGCGCCAGACTTGTCATTCAACGGGTTGCCCGTGGCCTAAAGTTCCGTGGCGCAATATGTCACTCACAAGCCCCCCGTGGTCGGTCGGTTAGACGTTGGATGTGACACTAAACTCGAACCCGACGAGAGATGCGCTCCGCGTAAACCGCATACGTTCGCATTCGTGTCCATCTAGGGTGTACAATCAGGCAACCTGCATGGTAGCGCGCCGCCTCCCATCATCGAGATGTACAATGCTCATCTTCCCCATCCCTTCGTCCCATCTTTTCCCTTTTGCTGATCGTGCGTATGCGCGTCTTGAGAGCTTGCTCTGCATCCTCTGCCCACCTTGTCAGCTCGGTACGAGAAAGCCAAACACATCGCTTCCCAACTCTACAGCGCTTGATGACCCATGAGACTGGTGACTGTCAATTCAGCTGAGGGGCCGAATGATCGCTGCTACGTAATCCAGGGACGGCGTGAGCGACAAACATCCGCTCCTGCAGAAAGGATCTTCGGCGCCTCGCTAGAATCCGATGGGCGCTGAAAGGAAAGACGATGGACGACGGGCGGCGGCCTGCTTGCAGATGACGACAGTACACCCTCTCCCACGAGGTCTGAAGGCCCGAATGTCCGCCGCGCCCGGAAGCCCACTAGAGTCGGATGCTGCTGGCCACGTTCGCTCCCGTCCGGTGATGTAACAAAGTCTCCTTCGGTGCGTTCGGTGTTAGTGCTGGCGAAGCAGGGATGCCTCACGGTCCAAGTGCGATAAGATAAGACCGGGAAGATCAAGCCACATCTTATCCGGGGTCGTCCCGCACTAAGCTCTCCAGCCACACGTGGCACGGACCTGTCTTGAACATTTCGAGATTGAAATTTCCAGCATCGCGACATGCCTTCGTAGACGTGGTGAGGCTTGCGACAGTACACACGACAGACTATGGCCACACTACGGGAAAGCTCCCGCTTAGGTCGGGCTATTTGCAGGCAGCGCTCGCCATGGCAATTGACGCCTCTTGTCGCCCAGCGATGCGCCGCCACCAGCGCTTCAAAGGCGGCTCCCGAGCTGGCTGACCTTGAGCCCGCTTCGTCCATAGGTGTCCCAGGACCAGACGAGGCCGCCGTGAAGGCATACGATACGGCGAAGCGCATCTCCGAGAGGCCACAACAGCTTCCCGGAAAGAGGTATGTTCCTCTTTCCGAAAGATCAACGCACAAGCAGAGTACTGACATGCCATGAACAGATACCAATTCCACCCCCCAAAGTACGACCGCGGCCCGCTGCACCCCGTTCAATCACCACCCTCTACCGACCCCACGGCACGAGACTTCGTTCCCGGTCCCTTCAACCTCCCCCGTCTGCGCCAGACCTACGAGTCCACCGTCGCCTCCGACCTGTTGACAATGACCTACCTCCACAAGCCGCCGGGAACCCCAGACCGTCCGGAGCGCGAGCGACTACGTGAGTGGGACGACTCCTCGCCATACAACATCAACCGTCCCCGCCGCGGTCCCAGAGGAGGAAGCAAGCTGGACCTTCTCGAGAAGAACGTCACCTGGCACAATATCCCCCAGATCAAGGCCGTCTCGCTGCATGCCTTCATGCCCGGTAGCAAGATGCCCCACGGCACGCTCAATGTCGCGCGTTCCGTTATCCAGTCCATCAGCGGCTCCTGCCCCGAGATCACTGAGGTCACAACCAACGTCGTCCAGTGGAAGATCCGCAAGGGCGACAAGGCCGGTGTCAAGACCACCATTTACGGAAACCAGGCCCTCGAATTCCTCGACAAGCTCATCAACCTTGTCCTGCCCAAGATCAAGGACTGGCCGGGTGTCGAGGCCACCACTGGTGACGCCAACGGCAACCTCTCCCTCGGTCTGAAGCCTGATGACCTTGCGTGGTTCCCCGAGCTCCAGATCAACTATGACATGTACCCCGCCAGGGTGAGTTAATTCAGCTGCCTATGATGCATGACCTCCTCTTTTGCTAACGACACTTTCAAGCTCATTCCAGGTTGCCATATTCACATCCAAACGACCGCCACGTCAAACCGACAGGCTAGGCTGCTGCTCCAGGCCCTTGGTCTTCCGTTCCATGGAAAGTTCAGGGATTGAGCGGCGGTTGTGCAGGGGTGTGTCCAAATAAAACAAAAATTTACAATACCAAATGACTAGAAATCTTGTAAACGAACTGTACCAACAAAAAGGTCACTCCCAAACACGTTCAAAGTAGCGTCATCTGGATGAAATTACTTCCATTTCGCAACCGTAAATCTCATTTACGAAGTAGTGATCATCTAAGCCCATGTTCCCATTTTTTGGTCGTCCCGTACGTCAGAATCCCCTAAGTCGTACCGCCCCAAACGCCGTCCATGCAAATCCATACCAAATCCTCTAATGCCATTTCTCTATGCCGTAATCTTGGCTCTAAGCCCGTCCATGACCTTGTCAATCTCATCCATGTTAACGGCTTCAACCTTGCCAGAAGAGTGAAGGCCCTTCTTGGCCAGCTCGTCCGTGAAAAGGTCCATGGCGGGCTGGTAATTCCTCACAGCGGAGCTGAGGGCGTAGAGTGCCTTCCTCCTCACGGCCTCCTTCTCGCCGTCCTTAGTAGCTATCGACACAAGGGTGGGGATACCAGCATCGCCCATGGCGAGCAGGCGCTCCTGACTGGGCTCGTTGTTCTGAACGGCGGTGCCAATGCACCAGGCGGCCATGCGGCGCATGTCGTGCTCGTCGTGGGTGAGGCAGCTGAGAAGAGGGGACCACAGAGCGAGGTTGGCCATGTTGTTGGCATTGTCTAGGTTCTCGATGAGCTGCTCGAAGTTGTCAAAGGCGACAAGCTTGTTGTCGAGAGTCATCTCTGGGTCGGTCGAAGTGATGGCTTCCATGGAGGCCTTCATGAGGTCAGCGTCGCTAGGGCCACCGCCGAAGAGGGCCGCGATAGCCTCGGGGTTCAGGTTGCTGGCGGGGGCCCGGGCGGCCTGCTCGTTTTGACCGGTTTCACCGTTTTGGCCGCCGGTCTCTTGGTTCTCGATACTCCATTTGAGGAGCTCGTTCAGGTTTCTGTCCATGATGCAAGTTTTGGTAGTTTACTTGTGCTTGTGAGGGTTTATTTTTAACGAATGCGTCAGATATTTCGTGACAAGTTTTTGTGAGTTGTCGAGTCGAAATGGTTTTCGCAGGGGTATATGAGTTGATGTCGTTGAATCACATCAAGATTCAAGAACGTTCATCGGCTTTCACTGAGAATCTCATCAACACCTCAAAAAGTTCTCCATAACTCAGGGCCCTGGTCACTGCTCTGACTGGCTGCACTGACTGTTGCCCTTTTCTGGAACCTTCAAGAAGGTTTCTTATCTCAAAAAGGCTTAGCGCAGATCTCACGTGAGAGCCCTGATCAGGGCCAGCTCAGTGCACGTTTATGCAGATTGGCGGTTGAAACTTGGGCAGAAAACACACGTTGACCGCAGCGTTCCGACCCATTGCCAACACTTCCTGCCCAAGATCGGATCATTAAGCATGCTGAGTTGGCATTTCCCGCCTGCCAGTCATAATTGAGGGTGTATCGTAACTCTGGAGTCCCTATTTCCGTGCCGTTGAGGGATGAGTGATGAGTTGCTGATGCTCTACGGTGGTTGGTGAAGAACCAAAAAAAGTTCCTGCCCCACCATTGAGAATGAGGTGCCCCTCATTGCCGCTTTAAGAGATGAGGGAGCTTCCCTGAGCTAGCGGCGTGCGGCTTGCTGACAGCTGAGCAGTGAGCGATGAAGTCACTCGAGTTCGCAGCGAGAAGCAACTCTGTTGGTTACGTTGCATCCAATTGCGTTTCTAACGTCAGACTTGACTCCTTCAGCCTTGCATCTCGGCCAGGCTCAATTTTTTTGGTTGTCGCTTGCTCTGGTGTGCAATGCTCAAGTTGCGGCAACATACTGTTTATGCGTTCCTCCGCACACAGAACGAAGATGACAGGTTGCGATCTGGACTAAGTGCCCGATCAACGGAGACACCGCCCGGCAGCCCGAAGCTCAGCCACACTGGAAACGTATTATGTTCCTCGCACCGTTTCTTGTTGGGGATCCCACACGAGGCTCGAAACGCAGTGCTGGATAGCTGCATATTCGCCTCAAAGGCGAGAGCGAGCTGGACATCAATCAGAATGCGATAGGGGGATGCGAGGCTGGTTGCCAGGCCACTGGCTTGCAGCGGGCTACCTTTGACCCCAGCCGTCGTTCCCGCAAAAGTTTCCCATACGCGGGTCTTCAATTTGGACCGTGAGAGCCGCGTTGACACCCCTGAGAGTACGGCCCTTGCAGATGGTAGGGCCGTCGGTGTCGGTGTCGGCGCCTATGTAGGTACCTAGATTGCGATGTGCTTCTTACCGTCTTTGCGCCGGGCATCCGTCAATCTACGCAGAGGAAAGGAGAAGCAACTGTTCATGAGACCAAAATAGAAGATGGGAGATGCCTGCTTGGCGCCATCGCCCAAACTCTCTTCTTGCTGACGGGAGAGATGACGTACGACTCGGGCACCGGGAGACGGAAGGATGCTTTTCGTTCACATGTGGTTTGCTGGCCGCTGGCGCACATCCGCCCGCTGCGGCCGTCGTCGAGCATGAACCAAGCCGCGGCGGCGGCGGGCGGGAATCTTGTTGAGTCTCACGTGGGCATCGGGGAACAGGAACAAGAGCGGCCCCCGTTCCACAGTGAAAGAGCGAGCGAGCAAGTAGACGGGACGGTCACGGATCCGCGATGCTGTGCCGCGACCTTTCCACGGCTCCCTGGCAGGCCTCGCGCTGGCGAGATGGCCTTGGCCAAGCTGTTCCCATGCTCCCATGCTCAGGCCTGGGTGAACCTTGCATTTTTTATCAGGCGGTAGCGTGCGTGAAGGCGGTCGGTGTGGGGAGGCCCTTGAAGATATTAGACACGCCACAGTCGCCGGGAGGCAACGGCACTGTAGATGGGTCGTGGCTTGGGCGGTCTCGATTGGCCCGTGGTGGTGGTTGTGGCCATGGAGGTGAGCGTGCGTGTGTGTCTGTCTCTTGTCCCTCTCTCACCGTCGGTTTCAAGCTACCTGCCAGGTATAGATGGCGAGGGTGACGAATGCTCCTTGCTGCCAGCGACCAGTTAACACCTAAGCTTACCCCTCTACAAAAGCTCATCTTACCCCTACTCCACTTACCTAAAATTACGTTTTTATACCTCTAAAAGTTACTTATAAATGTGTAAAAGTTATACTATTCTATACTAATCTATAGAGGGTAACTATATAAATTATATTTAAAATATAGTTAAACTATATTTATATTATATCCTAAAAAATTCCTAACTTAGTTTTCTATAATCCTAAAAAACTTATAAACTATACTTAAACTAAGGTTTTACTCTAACTTTTAACTTATTAGCTATTAAAACTAAAACTAAACTTAATTTAAGGTATAATTTTATAATACTAAAATACTTTAATACTACTAATCTTATTATTTAACTAAGTATTAATAAGAAAGTAATTATAAATAGATCTAATTATTTTAATAATTTTATAGTTTATACTCTAATAATTATACTTTTTAGTATCTAAGTTTAATTATATTAAAATTATATTCTAATTAAGAAATATTCTAAGACTAAAATATTTACTAAAATACTTAGTATATTAAATATAAAACTTAGATTTCTTAAAGCTAAAAGCTTTAAAAGCTAGTTACTTATAAATCTTTATAATATATAGTAACTAGTTATTAATATTATTTTAATTAGTTTTAGCTAGCTTTAAAATCTATAGAAACTTTATAATAAGCTAAATTATATTAATACTATATTTAAAATATATTTCTATAAGTATATATACTTTAAACTTTAAGTTTTAGAATTTATTTTAGCTTATAGTCTATATATTATATATATTAAGATAAGCTTAATATTTAGTATTAATAACTATTATCTTAGTATTAAGGTTTATTTTAGCTTTAAGGAGCTATTACTAAAGCGTTAACTTAAGAGGGGGGGAGATAAAAGTATCTTAAGCTTATTTAATTATATTAGAAATATATTATTAATATAATTTAGTTTAATTATTATACTTTTTGTTTTTTAGTATTAATAAGCTTAGTAGTAATCTAATTAGTTTCTATAGAAGTAAAGAGAGACTTAAATAAGTCTTAGTATTATAAGATAGTATAAAACTTATTAAAAAGCTAAGCGTTAACCTAAATATTTATATATTATTTCTAAAGTATAGCTAAATTATATTTTATTAGTAATCTAATTATAATTAAGTAAGGTTTTAATTAGTTTTATATATAAAGGAATTAAGCTTTCTTAGCGCTAAAAAGATAACTATTAATACTCTTCTAATTTTTAGATAAGTTAATAGATAACTTAATATTACTTTCTTTTAAATTATAAATAAAAGAGTAATAATAATATAAAATAGTAAGATCCTTAAATTATTACTAAATAAATTATATTAGAATTATATTCTAATTAAAAAAGAGAGAAGTATTAATAATATAAAGATAGAAGATTAGCTCCTCTTTATTATTACTATAGTTTTATTTATAAAAAATCTTACTAAAATAGAGAATAATTTATTTTTAATTCTATAAAACTAAAATTTTAGTATAATCTAATTATATCTTAAATATAATTCTATAAGGTTCTACTTATATTACTAAGTAGGTTAGTATTAATAAAATAGACTATAATAATAAGAGGAGCTATAATAAGTTTAATAGTTTATAAAAAGTATTAAGCTATTAAGTTTAATTATAAAATTATATTAAAATTAAGTTTAAAATATAAATCTAAAAAGAATAAAAAAGGAATAAAAATATATATATTAATAAAGTAAACTAATAGCTTTTAGCTAGTTTACTTTAAACTAAAAGTATTTTATAAAATTATTATCTAAAAGAAAAAAAAAAAAAGAGATAGAGGAGTTAAAAAGGGGATAAAAATAGAAATTTAAAGTAGCTTATATATTAAAAGTAATTAATTTATATACTAAAAGTAGTATTCTTACTTATTACTTACTTTTAATTAGCTTAGATTATCTATTAATTTAATTAAGTAAATATATACTTACTTCTTCTAAAAATACCTCTTCCTTTTTAGATTAAATATATAAAGTTAATAAAAATAGATAATTACTTTATATTATATATTTCTTATTATATTTTAAATTATTTAAAAATTTCTCCTATCTATAGGTTAATTATAATTACTTATATAACTTATTTAGTTTAAATTATAATTTACTTTTTTACTTCTCTAATTTTAAAGAAATTATATTTTCTATAAAAGTTTTACTTTATAGTAATATCTTATAATAAAGTTTTTAAGATAGTAATTAAAGAGATTACTACTTAGGTTTATATTTATTATCCTCTATATATATTATAAATATAATAATAATATAATTAATTTAGTCTTAATACTATAAATAATACTTTAAACTTAATTAATATCTAAACTAATAGTTAGTATTTATAGTAAATAAAGATAGCTATATATATATCTAATTAAGAGAAGTTTTTTATTAGTTTTTAAAATATTATAATAATAGAGTTTTTACTCTTTATATATAATAGATAAATATATATTAAAGACCTTTATTTAATTATAGTTATAATATATTTATAATATAATTAAGGTTATTTTATAGATTAAATAACTTTAGCTTAATATATAAAAGATATTTATTAGGTTACTTATATTATTAATTATTAAAGAATACTAAGTAATAAATAAATTATTAAGATAAAAAGTATATATTATTATTTTATCTTAATTAAATTATAATTAACTTATAATTAGACTTTTATTAAATACTATTAAATAATCTATTTAAATTAAGAATACTTACTAATAATATTTTAATAACTAATCTAAATAATACTAAAGATTTATTATTATTATTATTAAATATTTTAGATATTATAGTTATATAAATAAGAATATATAAATAAATAATTTTAGCTATATTTAATAAAGTGTTAAATAAGTATAGAATATAATCTAAATATATTTATTAAGAAACTCCTATTTTAGTTTAAAACTCCTAAGTGATTAAT